ATATACTCCATGGGCTGAGCATGATAATGGTTTATGAGAATGATGTATGGATATGTTGATAGCTAAGGATGAGAATAATTCTAAGCTTCGAGATTTCTATAATGATTGTGGGTGAGGTCGATGTGCAACTCACATAGCTATGATGTTTGTTCACACAAAGTGAACTAAACGATAACGAGGACTTTGTCCACTACTTGCCTAAGTGGGATGGGACCACTCGAAGGTTCGTGGGTGAGACCGATGTACCACTCTCATAAGTGCACTAAGAACCTGAAATAGTAAAGGTTAAACCACTGTTCGCTTAAATGGGACAAACCCATTTGTTAGGAAATGATATGAGAAATCAATGGAGTCTATGCCATGCTAGTGAATGATTTAATATTTTGTGGAATAGGAATGATTGCCATGATACATGATAAAATAGGCATGCTACAATTATAGAAGATAGATGATGAGATATATCACTAACAAATATGAGTATAGGCTTGGTTAGAATGGACCATAGCCTATAAGCATGGTCTTTAAGGTAAATGGGACTTATGAATGGTTACGAACGGAATCTTGCCCAAAAAATTGGGTTTTGTGGCAAAAGTATCGACACATACTCCACATGTATCGATACATTTTTAACAAAATGCTATAGGAGGCATTCTGTGTGAAATTTATCGATACATCCTTAAAGGTATTGATAGATTCTTTGTATGTATTGATACATTCTAGTGCGTATCGATAAATTGATTGCAGCAATGGATTTGTAAATGATTTGATAAAGGTTTTCAATGCCAAATGATTTCCAAAAGGTTATGTGAACTCATTTTCCATGCAATGCTATTAAAATGTATTTAAATATCATGTTTTATGAACTATATAGATTTGATGAGATGGTTAATAAATGACAAGAGATTAGAAGTGCATGTTTATGAAAAACTCTATCTCCCTTAGTTTGTCTCCTTTCCTATATCCACTTACGGAGTTTTTGTGACTCACGTGTTATTTTCGTACACTATTTTTGTTGCAGATCAATTATAGCTCTGTGATAGCAAGCAGTATCATGGAGACGTGTTCTGTTCCTCTTTTGGTAGGTGATCTAGCAGCCATTTACAGCTTAAAGATCGTGCCATATTTCACTGGCGAGTCGATCTTGTGTTTATGTTTATGTTTATGTTTACGAATTATGAACATGTTATGATAATGTGGCTAATGTTTGAGTACTTTACATTATGAATGTTATGATTAAATCTACAAATATGGGTCAAGAGTTTATATGGACACCTGAAGATATTAATAAATGTTCATATGATACTGTGCTCTAAGATAGAGGCACTCGGATATTTTATTAGATGTTTACAAATTGTATAGAGAATAATGAGAATAACTAAAACAAGTGAAGTACAACTTCATGTAGAACAACTAAAATTAATGAAGTATTATTTCATGCAGAACAACTAAAATAAATAGAGCATTACTTTATATGGAACAACTAATACAAGTGTGACAGCTACTTCTCACAAAATAATCACTTTACATGAATAACAGTGAAAGCAACTCGGAATAAGTGGTGAGGTTCATGAGTTATTTTCATCTTGAGATGTTTCAAAGAGTTTAGCTTGGTGACTCATATGTAAAGATAGTTAAAAGGTCTTTCGCTTAACCTTTTCTTGAGTACAAGTGTTTTCTCTCTTACCTTGTTCTCATGTACCTATTCACATATATCTTTTTCTCTAAACTGATTCTCATATAGCTTTACCCGTATACTTGTTCCCTTTACCTTTTATTAAAAAATAAATCTTATTATATTATTAATGATTAAAAAATTCATTACTTCAATAGCTACATAATGAGCTTCTAACTGTTACTCAACATTAAAGTTTAGTAACAATCACCCAATATTAAAACACTTCTTAATAACGTTATTCATTACATGCATTGAAGTTTATTCTTACCTCCATTTCTAGCACTATATATAAAACCTTCATAATTCATTTAAAGGATTTTTTTCCAGACCCATAACATTTTCACCTCAAGCTTATCTTTTTAACTTCTCTCTCTAATTATCTTCTATTATCTAATTCTCTACCTCGTCTCTTTCACCTGCCACTAAGCTCAATACTTTAAACATTACTCTTATCTTTTTCTTTATCACCTTTAATACAACCTTTACTTGTTTACAATGCTTCATCTCCTTATCACAAGAACCCTTTTATATCTACGTTTATCATATTGAGGTGTCAATATGGACTAGCTTGACCTAGCTCGATCTTAGCCTTTGTGGGCTGAAAAAATATGGGTTAGGTCGGGTCAACCTATTTTTTACATGAGCCATCAAAACTTCAGCCCACCCCACCAGTTGCTAGCCCATAGGCAGGGTTAGACTAGCCTATTTCTTTTTTTTAAAAAAAATTATTTTTATAATTTCACCAAACAAATTTTCTATTAATAAAATTATTTTATGATTTAATCTATAAATTGAATAATAAAAATATATTACAAACAAATAAATTACACCAACTATAAATAAACAAATAAATTACATAAATAAAGTTTAAATCTTTAACGCAAACTACCATCCCATAAACATAAGTATTTAACCAAATAATAGAAACTTTAAGACTCATTTATATCTTCCCCAATCCTCATTTTTAAGTGAAACATTTAAATCTTATGTAGACAGCAATGATGTCTTAATGTCTAAATCATTATCAATTTATAATCTAATATTCATTACCATAAAAGAAAAAGAGATAATAAGTTTTAATCTAAATTATAATTATTAATTTGACAAGTAAAGATTAAAACCATTGAAATATAAAATATGCAATATCATTGATAACTAAATTATTAATTTTATATAATTAAATATATAAAATTATTAAATTAATTAAAATTATTAATTTTTTTCTAACCCACAGGGTTGGTCTGCCTCAACTCACCCTAACCCACTGATCTGATAGGATGGTCCATTTAGATCCGATTATAATACGAGTTTAAATTTTTCAACCCAACCCACCTTATATTCAATAAAAAATGAACCTAGCCCATTTTGACAGGTTTAGGAAGATAGGAGCACTCCTTAGAGGAAAGCATATGTCAGCAATCCAAAACTCAACAAAATTGCTATCCCTTGCTGGCTGCTGGAGAAGAAAGATGAGCGTAAATGAAAATGGTGGTTTCTAAGTTGAAGAGAGACTAGAGGAAACAAAAATGGTGGCTGATAGGTTGAAGAAAGGAAAAAACCCCGAGGGAATTATGTCCTTCAAAACAACTTGCACTTTCCCTCATCCCCCAAGGAAATCACATTTCTTCCATTGATTTGAAAGGAGATTACCACGGTAAAGTCATTTTCCTAAGAAAGCAGTTTCCTTCCGTTTTATTAAATTCGTAGGAAAGTGTCTTATTTTTCTTATACCAAAGGCACCCAAGGCTGAGTGTGGGTGAATACATATGACCTTCACCAAAAAGCTTATATTTTATCCTAATAAAAAGCTTGATATTCCTTTTCTTCTTCGAAGAAAAAGCTTGATATATATTCTTCAAATTTAGAATTTATATTTTAAGTTTTGATGTACTAAAAGAGAATACTAATTAATTTTCTAAAAATAAGATTAAATATAGGTATTATTATATATGTAAAAGTTAAAAATCATTGCCTTTTTATTTAACTTTTGATTATTAGATTACTCATAAATGATATAAATAAATATAAGAAATAATAATTCAATGAATATTTACTTTCTACAAATAATCAACCAATGAAATTTTTAAACACCTTAATAGTTTTCAAAAATAAAATTTGTTTTTGCAAAAAGTCAATTCCTGAATCATTTCTTTTATCTTTAGGAGATCACGAGAGAGACTTAATCCAAATGATTTTTAGCATGTAAGTAAAAGTGTTTATATTGACATAATTAAAAATTATGCTTGCATTCAAGTTAAATCCATCTATTTAAATTAATTTAATTTAAATTTATTATTAAATATTAAAAACACATTTATATTAAAAAAATTTTAATTATATTTAAAATTATAATTATAATTATAATTATAATTATATCTTGAATTGAATGTAATTTTAAAAATTTTATCTAAAACTCAATTTGAAGTAGATCTGACAAGTTGACACGATTAAAGCATGAAACACAATAAAACTAAACTAAAACATGACATGAATAATTATTCGTATCAGTATCTGAAATATGTATACAGATACGTTAATAATTACATAATATGACACGATAAGACTAACATGTTTATTAAACGTGTTAAGAGTTTTTATACAATATGATACGATTAATAAACAAGATCAAACATAATTTTTTCCTAATACAATTAAATTAAAATATTTATAATTAAATATAATTTTATTATTTAAATTTAAAATCAATAATTATAAAAACAAAATATCCAATGAATAGAAAGCAAAAGAAAAAATTAGGGTTTGAGCGTTATTACATTATTATCTTTATGAAATTAAAATAATTATTTAAAATTATATAAATTAAGTTAAAATAGTATTTGATTATTAATTTTAATGAGTTGATAAATATGTCATGTATACATAATTAAATATGATTAATATGATTAATTAAATGTGTTACTCATATTTAATACGGTTAAATTTTCATGACAATTAATTAAAGGTGTTACTCATGTCTATCACAATTAAATTTTTATATCTTAATTGTGTTGATATAATTAAGATGCAAAATATGATAAAATTAAATTTAAATTTATTTAATTTTGTATCTTTTAATATTATGTTATCATGATGTGTCTAAAATTATAATATCTAATTTTAAGGTTCCGGCCATGGGCAGGACTAGCCGCAAGACACTTTTTTATTCGGCCATAGTCGGAAACCACCTTGGCTGTTTTTTTTTTAACAAAAAATTTAGTGGGCAATTGGGTTCAATAAGCAAAAAGGGAACCGCCTCAAGAAGTCAAAATAAGGAAAGAATATCCAAGAAGCAACCAATAACAGCGCCTCAAGACAAAAGAAACACAGATACTCGAGTGTTACGTACCGTACTCAATTATTTTCCCATAGCTCTCCTCCTCTTCCTTTCCCGACTGTTTTTTTTTTTATTAGACATTAACAACCTGAAACGCTATTTCCCCACTCTACTACCACAATTTAGCTAACCGACTTTGGCTTCCTGGCTGCAATTACGATAACCGGCGTGATCTACGGTTCTGATCGACTCGCAAACTCACGCTCTTTCCACGTGATCTATGGTTAGGGTTTCTTGATGGTCTCTTCGACACTTGCATAGGTAACTCTTTCTTTTTTACTGTATTTAGCTGGTTCAGTTTTTATTTCTGGAGTGAATTGAATTGAATTTACCGTTTTCCGACGTATTTCTAGAAATTATGGCTCTTTATGTATTTGTACTCTGTTTGGCTGCTGAGAAATTCGAAGAAAAAGAGCTATAGAGTTTGGAAAACCATGGTCTTCGAATTTCTCATAATTGAAATATTATAAATTTCATTGTTTAAAAGTGAGAGATGTTCTAGGTGATTTGATAGCTGTCTTGTGTTAGTTTAAGTTTAAAGAAATAAACGAACTTTACGAATTCTCTTAATTCTTATATTAAATTAACCTCATAAATTTCATTGTTGTTTTCATAATTGAATTAGGATTCGCTTGCTTTGGCGTTTTGGAAGCATTTCCGTCATGCTCAACATAAGCATACAAAAAGAGAGAGAGAGAGAGAGAGAGAGAGTGCTTTTGAATTGCATAATTTTGCGGGGAAGGTTTTAGTAGTTAATTCTGAAACTTATTGTCAAACAAGCTAGACATGACCTGGTGCAATAAGATATGATTATTCTCAAATTTCTGGGCAAATTACTCTACCAACGGCCAAGATGCATAGCTGGCTGATCTACTTCAGCTGGTTCCTTCTGGAATTATCTAATTGCCATTTAATCATGTACATATTATTGATTTATTGTTTTAGTGTATATTAGGTATTTTTTCAAATGCCTTTTTAGGTTGGGGCTAGCAACATGGGCTTATCTTAATGGTAACTTGGCTTTGCTGAAATACCGATAACTGAAAACAGGTTTTTTACTTCAGATGGTTTCTTCAGGGAAGTGTATAACAGATGAAGTTGGTAGAGATAAATTACAAAGCCCAGATGCTGGAAATCATGGATTGCAACAAATCTCTGATAGTAAAGTTCATTTACCACAATCCAATCAAGGGGGAGGAACTCCCTCAATTAAATCAGAGAAAGCTCCGCTTACTGATTCTGGGGTCCAGACCTCAAAATCAGAGCGAGGAAATGTTTCCTCTATGATATCCAACAAAACTTCGGTTACTCCAGATATGACTCCCTCTCCATTACCTGGTACAGAAGGGAGCACTCCTATAATACGTGAGAAAGCATCAGAGGATGGGTATAACTGGCGTAAATATGGTCAAAAACTTGTTAAAGGAAATGAATTTGTTCGAAGTTATTACAAATGTACACATCCAAACTGCCTTGTGAAAAAGCAATTGGAACGTTCACATGATGGGAAAATGGTGGACACTGTTTATTTTGGTCGGCATGATCATCCAAAGCCACTGAACCTTCCCCTAGCTGTTGGCGTTGTTGTCTCTGTTGTTGAAGAGAAAACTTATAATGCTTCTCCAACTGTTGTCAAAGGTAAGAAAGCATATTAAGCATTTGCAACTAATCTAATCTAATTAAGTATAAATTGCCTGATTTATTACCTGACTTCATATTTGAAGACAAGTCATCAGATGCACGTAGCCAAACACCTCGCCAAATAGAGCCACAAGATGATTTTCAGCCTTTAGCTATTGCTGCCGGTGAAAATGTGAAAGGTGCTCCTTCAAAATCAATCAGGATACAAAATGTTGCTGATAGTGATGATGATCATGTGATCTCAAAACGAAGGTACGTTAGTTTATTTCTGGTGTGTTTATTCCTTTTAACCTTTATGTAACAGTCATCAACTGAACAGGAAGAAAGAAAATAGTAATGCTGATGCATCTCCAGTGGAGAAGCAAACCACTGAATCACGTATGGTTGTTAAGACTCTGAGTGAGGTTGACATTGTAAATGATGGGTACCGCTGGCGCAAATATGGGCAGAAATTAGTTAAAGGCAATCCTAATCCCAGGCATGTTTCAAGTTATTTTTGTCCATGCACATTTCGAATACTTAAATTTGTCTAATTTACATTTTATCTTCATTCATTGGTTATGGAGATGATTACACTGTTACGCCAACTTTGGAAATCTCCTCATCATAAGGGGAGATGCGTCCTTATTTCTCCTGCCGAGATATCAGTTGATGCATATTCCTTGATGCTTTTTAACCTTTGAAAGTTTTCCTCCTTTCTTTACATGTATATAGATACTGCAGCTTTTGGATTTAAGTTGACTCTCAGCTCACATGTGATGTAGGAGTTACTACAGGTGCTCAAATCCTGGATGCCCAGTTAAGAAACATGTGGAGAGGGCTTCTCATGATGTAAAGTTGGTTATTACTACTTATGAGGGACGACATGACCATGATATTCCTCCAACTAGGAATGTTACTCACAATACAACTGGAGTAAATGTTCATTCAGCAGCTCATAATGATGAATCTGGCACCAAGGTAGAGAAAGTGAGCCTGCCTGCGTCGATATGGTTGTTCATCTTTAGTTCTGGACTCGAGAATAAATCAAGTGAGCAATTGAATGGTGAGTCTACACCTAAGTCAGAAGTAAGCGGTGCTGTTTGTGTTGATGTGGTCGATGCACCCATATCAGGTCCTGAAAGTGGGTCAAATGAGCAACGGCGTGGGGAAGGTGCAACCCAGTAAAGAAAGTAAGGGCGATGGCAATGATATGATTGTTCGTAATAAATCGATTTCTCAGAATACATCGAAGGAGCAACTGAGTAACAAATTAGAAACTAAATCAGAAAATGATACGGTTTGCATTGATAAGATGGTCCATATCACCCCGCATCCTGAGTGTAATTTTGATGAGCAACGAAATGCCTAGTGCAGAACCTGTCAAAGCTGAACTGGGATGAAGGTTTAGTTATGGTCCTAATGGCATTGTATTGAAATGGAACTGCTCGCGGTGCTGTTGGTTGGGTGTATCAATATTGGGCAAGCCATCCCCATGTGTAAAATTATTTCAACCGGTAAATAATGCGAGAGTAAACATGAAGTACTAGTATTTTATCCTACGGTAAGATCTGATATAAAAGAGGCGTCCCTGCTAATCTTTACCGAGAGCATTCTGGTAGTTTCGTACCCTCTTATTGGTTGGTTTACAGCCATCCGACTCCCTACGACGGAAAAATCGTTTTATCTTGGGAATGGCCAAATCATCTATCTCCGTCAAAACATGGCACTCATTCAGAACAAGAAATTGCATATCAACTCCTTCTACTACAGTTGCGGCGGCGCCCGCCGCCGGGGCTCGCTGCGGCGGCGGGGCCGCGCGCGCCGCGCTCGGGCGCCGGGGCGGGCTCCGGCCCTCGGGGCGCGGGCCGCGGCGGGCGGGGCGGGCGCCGCCCGGGGGCGCGCGGCGGCGCTCTGCGGCCGGGCCCGCGGGCCGGTGCCGGGGGCCGGTGCGCGGCCGCGCGCTGGGCGCGCGGCCGGCCGGCGGGCCGGGCGGGGGGGGGCGGCTGCGGGGCCCGCGGCGCGTGGGCGCTGGCCCGGGCGCCGGCCGGCGCCGCGCCCCCGTGCGCGCTCGCGCGCGCCGGCCCCGTGGCTGCCGTCGCGCGCCGGCTCGCCCACGTCGGCTGCGCTGGCCCCTCGGTCGGCGCGCGGCGGCGGCCGGCCGCCTCGGGCGCGGCCTGCGCGTGGGGGGCGTGCGGGCGTGGGGCCCCGGCGTCCGGCCGCGGGCCCGGGCCGCGCCGGGCGCGCGGCGTCGCGCCCCCCTGGTCCGGCGCCGGGGGGGTCGGGGGCGCGCCCGGGCGCGCCCGCGGCCGGGGCGGGCGGGGCCGCGCGGCGCGGCCGCGGCCGCGCAAGCCGCGGGCGCGGCGCGCGGGCGGGGCTGGGGGCCGGGTGGCCCTGGCGCCGGCGCGGGAAGGCCGGTCGCGCGGCCGCGGGCGGGGGCCGGAGGCCGCTCCTTCTGGCCGCCGGCCGGCCAGCGCGCGCGGGCGGGGGCGGCCGCGCGGGCTGGCCGCGGGCCGGGGCTCCGCGCTTGGCGCGCGCCGGTCGCTCGGCGGGCGCCGACGGCGGCGGCCTTGCGGACCGCGCAGCGGGGCGCCCTGCCCGGCGGCCGGTCCGGGGCCGGGGCTCGCCGCGGCCGCCGCGGCGCGGCGGCCCGCCGGTTCTCTGATCTGGGCGGCCGCGGCGTCGGGTGCCGGCCCTCGCCGCGTGGGCGTCCCGCCGCGGCGGCCGCCCGGAGCGGGCCGCGGGGCGCGGCCGGCGCGCCGGGCGCTGCGGGGCGGCGGGCGCGCGCCGGTCCGCGGCCAGGCCGCCGTGTCCACGGCTACCGGCCGCTGGGGGCGGCCGCGGCGCGCCGGCGGCCGCCCGCGATGCGCCGGGCGCGCGGCGCGCCGGGTGGCCGCCGCCCGCACCCCAGCGCGCGTGCATACGTCTCTCTTTCCAGCCCGCATACAGAAGTGCAACAGCGAAACGACATGACTGAGCAAAAGCTGGCCAGCTTTTGATTCATCAAGAGTTAACACAGTTCAATGAACACCACTGCTATTGGCCTTGGCAGCCAAGAGAAAAATACACTAAGACTATTACCTACCAAAGCTCAGTGCCCAGGCCCTGAAAGAAACTAATTTCTAAATTCCCGCATGCCAGAGGCCTTGATCAGATGGTAGAGAACAGGGTTAACTAGGGATTCTAAGTTAAGAGTCCACTCATTCCCATGTGTGAGTACAAGATTGAACGAGAATAAAAATTATTATGTTGTATCACTCCATGCCCACAAGAAGCAACCAAATCCCATTCGATCCAACCAAGATATAAAGCCCCGTCTCTCTCTTCAAGTCTATATTTATCACAGTAGTTCTCAAGCAGTGTTTTTATGGTGGCATTAACCAAGGAACTTAAAGGATAAGGACAGAACCCTGCCATTCTGAACCTTGACCTCCACTTTCCCATGAGCTCATGTCGTTCCACTCTCTCAGGCCCCTCACAAGCTATGATGTTAACAACATCCCTTGCCAGGCAGTGCTGCTCAACATTGATCCTCTCTTTACGGTCCCGTGGGAGAGTCACGTCAATTGATTCGAACATGGCTGTGTAATAGATCAATGTCTCAAGGAACCTTGGGAAGAACGGAGCTGTATTCGTGTTAGATTCCTGCTCAACAAGGGTTACAACCTTTGGAGACAGGCTCTTAACCAGCCTCAACAGTCGGTCACGATGATTCTCAGTGCTGACACTCTCATCAGGCATGTGGTGAAGCATGAAAGCAAAATTTACTGCTAGAGCCTCTCCAGGTCGAACTCGAAGATGTTCCTGCTGAACCTCACAACCAGACATGGCAGCAGCATGGAACTCAAATGGCACTTTAAAATGCTCCGCAAGCTTAGACAGCCGCTTTCCCACAATGTTTAGGCCTCCTCCGCGGGCATAAGCAGATGTGGAATCATCGATGCCTGTTATGCAGATGTGGGGTGGCCCGCCAGGCCTAGCTGCAAATGCTTGAATGAGAGTGATCCACTGACTTCCCTGACCTATTTGGAAATCAATAATATGAACTCTATCTTCATCCTTCATGGCTTCTGCAATGGCTCCATTTGCAGACATGTAACCAAACTTGAAGTAGGGACAAACCTCATAAAGAATGTGCATGTAAGATAATAGATCAGCGCTAGCCGGTTCTTTGCATCTCAAAGCTTTGTAGATTGAGCTCCCTGAGGAGGCAAGTCGTGCCACAAGCCCTTCCAACATGTATGCTCCCAACCTCTGGATTGGCTCCCCAGAAACTGACACCATCCGACGCAATTCATCCATTAACCACTGTGCCATCATCAGGTCATTATCTGATACTGCTTTTGCACAGGACACAAGGACCTGCTTCAAGTCCCCTCTGGAGATTGCATCCATTACAAGACTCCAGCTGCCCATATTTGGTGATGTTGTGCTGTCAATAATATCAGAATCAGGCCCCAACATCGCAGTTTCCAACTCTCTCAGCTTATGCCTCAAATCACTTACATCATCAGTTATGCAGGAACCACTAATAGGAGAGCCATAGGTATTGTCAGGAGAGTGATGCAGGTCAGATGGATATGACTGAGATTCTTGCTGTGACATTGGGCTTCCATTGGGTGAGAAACTGACAGTTGATGAAGAGTTGTAGACAGTGTAACTTCCATTTGCAGAAGATGACTCCAAAGTGCAATAAAGTTCACAGGAATTCTTAACAGAGAAGTGGGATCCTTGGCTGCTGTCACTATAGCAGAAAGAGCGATCAATAGTTGGGAATTGAGGCAAGCAGTAGGGCTCAACTTCCTGCTTTACTTGATGGTACAATCTGCTGGCCATAACTGCACTTGTGTGTTGCAGGGATGCTTGCACTGATGGATAATTTACTTCAACAGTGTCTCCGTCCCTTTATAGAGGGCTTAGGAGATCAAAGGATTCAAGCCTGGCAAGAATATTGTTTTGAAACCGAAATGACAGTTCCTAACAGTCAGAATTTAAGATTTTGTTGCTGTATCCTGGTTCTAATTGCAGTAACTTAAGAAGCCTCGGACTCTCTTTGATAGGCTAAATGTTGCATACAAACATATCGGAGAGAAATCAACATCACCATGAGCCTTTGCCCCTGAGTATCCAGATTTTTCCCATCTCTGTCTCTCTATCTGCAAGATTTAATGGCAGCATCAAGGATACAACAGAAGGTCCAGGTACATCATGCCAACCACAATAATATTGACTGTCAATTTAAGGGAAAGCAAAGCAAACATTTTGTTTAAAATCAAAATATATTGTTAGCCCAGTGGGCAAGGAAACACTGAGATTCGTAAATATAGAGAATGCATCAGTTTATACAGACAACAAAAGAAAAAGAATCACAATCTGGAAGATTTATTTAACAAATAAAAATCTTTTGTTCCTTTTCCTCTCCCCAGAAATTTAAAGCAGAGAATGAGAAGTGATCCATAAAGGATCTCCTTTTCCCCCCATGGATTTGCTATGCAATTGACATCTTAGGACCTATACCAAGAAACGAAGAAACATTTCCTCGTGATGAGATTGATAAAAATGAGAGATGCAATATCATCGCTTAATACCACTTCAACAATAGGCTCCTAGACCTTTAACAAGAAGGATGCATAACAAAGTTGAATAACCCAACCTACTCTCGCTGCTACATTCCTTTACAAGTTGGTGCATGGGGGACCTTCCTACAAAACACATCTTTGACACAGAGGGAGACAAAAAAAGTATATTATTAGCTATTTAAAAAAGCATCTAGAAATATATGTATATATATATATATATATATCAACCATGACAGCTAAAACTTAAATTCCAGTCTGCCGATGATCGAGTTTTATTCCAATCAGAACTTCAACTTATAACTAGGCATTCTCTCTTATAGGCTAACTCTAACGACTGAGTTTGACATTTCATAAACAAATAAAACACATTTCTGCAGCAGATCATCACACATTAGGCATCCTGTTCTTGCAGAGTAGGAGAAGCTTGAACTTTAGAACTAAAAGACTAGTTTTTAACTAAACTAAAACCTTAAAACAGTGACAATATCGCTTACTTCTACATAAAAATATTAACTTTATTTTGCTTTCTTTAATTCTGTCATTGCCAACAAGACTTCTAACAAGTGTGAACCACCCAGTAAGCAATCAATTCCTTCTTGAAAAAAGAATCAAGCATCAACCATAAACATGGGAAAGTGACACTGAGACTCCCAATGAGAGCCATTTCAAGGGCAAAAAGAAAAAGAAAAGACCAAAACATTCAACATCACAGAGAGTAGAATCTTAGAGTAAAAACAACCAGAACTCCAAGCAAAACTGGAAATACTTGAAAACCATCTTACTTTTAGCTGATCCATCACCGACCCATTTTCACTAAACTCAATTCACTCACCATAATACTCACCTTTCCCCCAATAAAGAAACCAAAAACAAGTTTACTCACCAAAAGAAAAAATGAACCAATAAAAGACCAGAATTCAAAAAAGAAAAAGCAACAAGAAAAACAAATCTTAAACTCAATTTGAGAGAATAAATTCACTTCCACCGTCAAATCAACGGGTTTAACATACGCACCTTATTCTAAGGAATCCTCAGCTATGGTAAATATCACTTCAGAAAAACGCAGCTTTGAGTTTGGAGAGAGAGAGAGAGACAGAGACAGAGAGACAGAGGGAGTGAGAAATAAGACAGCAAAGTGCTTTATTTCTTTTCCGAAGAGCCACATGTGCGTTATAATAAAACTGATCAATCATTAAAAGCCCATTGATTGTGCCAAAACTACAGGATTACCATCAAAATAAAGAAAAATATGTTCTGAGTTGTCTTGCAAGTTACTTATACTATTATTGGACTTTTGAAATGACAATAATAGCCTTGTTAAATACACGTGGTCAATTGCATCATAAATCTATTATTTGCTAAATAATAAATATATTTATTTTGTTTTCTCAACCAATATTTACAGTTTTTTTTTTTTGAGGGCATGCCAATTATGTAAGGATGAGGTGGTTGAGTTGATTTTTAAATGGTTGGAGTCTTGGAGAAGAGAGTTTGCTTCCTTAGCGGAGGTGTTGGTACTGTTTTTAATTGCCCTTAATTACTTGATTTAAAGGCTAATGTGGCCTATAATTATGATTAAATTATCATTTTCCTTCATATAGTTAACTACTAGTACAGCTTCAAATTTTGAATAAGTATCTCATTGGTATCAACTGGATACGAGTTATATTAAGTAATTAATAAGCTCGCATTATAGTAATTTCATTCATGAAGCATAACATCAAGTTCAATTTGTATATTATTTTCATATGAAAAATATTCATGAAAATAAAATTGAGAAATATTTCCAACCAAATAAATTATTTAATGAAAGATCATAAAGTAGAAGAATAATTAGATATGAGTTGAACATAAAGATCTATATGATTTGAATATGAGAGTTACTAATGATGTGTGCATCAAATACATATATTTAATAAGAGATTAAATATCTAATTAGGTTAAGTTAGGCTTGATTTAAGATTGGTGTTTTTAGTTATTTTATTAATTTAGTTTAATCTATGTTTAAATATTTATTTTTAAGTTAATAATGTTAGTTTTATGTTGTTTATGTTTATTTTTATGTTTATGTAAGAGTAGGATTAAAAATAACTTTAATTGGTAAAGAAAGGTGCATAATGGACTGGTGCTTTATCTGCACATGGTTCTATTTTTTGAGTATAACTTTCGCTACATAAATCTAAATGATATGATTCATAGACCATTCAAAAATTAAGAGGTAGAGCTACAACTTTAATGTTTACCATTTCACCCAATTCTAATTAGAAAGTGATCGAAATCCTCATCAAAATAAAAGAACTACACTACAAAACTTTTGATTAGAGCCGTGCCACGGAAGAAATTTTTCAAAAATAAGCATCTTACTAGATTTTGGAAAGTAGGGCTTTCGAAAATTATTTAAAGGACCATTTTCAAAGGTTTCTAATCACACCAATCTTAAGAGTTAAAAAGAGTCTTAACTAAATTAGTTATTTTATTAATGCAGCACACAATTTTTTTAAAGAAAAAGAGTTAAAAACAAAACAAGAAAGTAAGATAATTTGAGAGAGAAGCAAGATCATAAAACTTCAACTATTAATTTTCTCTCTCTACTTTTATGTTTTTCTTAAATTCTTAACTTTGGCTAATTTTCTTTAAATGAAGTTTTTAGTAGATATTATGAGCTAAACTATTTTTCTAAGATTATGGTAGATTTTAACATGTAGTTTGAATATTTATTTCTCTTTTATTTACTATGAATGGTTTTAGTTTTATTTATTCAAATATGTTTTTAATGCTTTTAATTACTTGATCAACAATTAACTGATTTATAAATCTAATTGAAACTAGACAGATAGATTTTAAATAAAACTAAGATTTAAATAATGTATGTTCATATCACTTAAGTGATCTGATTGTGATTCGGGTAGATATACGTCAATTGTCAAACATAACCAAATTAAAACACTAGCTTAATGAACCTTATTTAATTGATTCCTATAGATATATAATCAGCCAATTAAGTTAGGTATTTGTGCAAACATTTTGATGGAGACTTGCATATAGTTTTAGATTCTAAGTTAATAAAACCATATATGAATATAAATTACAAGACAAGCTGATATCAAATAAAGTGTTGAATGAACCCATAATCTTAGGTTTTAGTCTATTACTTTTTCTCAAGTAAATTTTAAGTAGTGTTAATTAATTAAGTATTTACATTAATTTAATTTTAATTAATTTTTTCAAAAAAATTTAGTTATTTGAATAAGATTAGTTTGTCATAATTTTAATACTTAGTATACATTTAAAAACAAATCTATATGAAATGCGATTCTAAACTTACTATCTATATTACTTATTCTATATATATATTTGCATGTGCAAAATCGATAACAACTAACTCGACTATTGACTACTGTAATAGTACGTAAAGCTTTTGGATAAATTACTTCTACCTTTTTAGAATTTGATCATAATTTATTCTGAATTTATTGATATTGAAAATGAATATTTCGTTTCAAAATAATATCTATCATTGGATACATAAATTCTGTGATTAATCTATTATTTAAATTTTCGTTTCACTTAAAACTCTAGCCCACATATAGCATGTGATTTGAATTCTAGCAACTAAGTTGAGTGTTGATTGATTTCTCAAAAGGTTTATTTGTATATCCATGGAAAAACAAAGTCTCATGTACGAGATGTTGGATAATGTTAGACAAAAGCCAGAAAACAAGTCTCAGTAGTGGGATACTAGAAATTCTGCTTTTGCTTCTCCGTCCTCATATAAAGCAAAGGGGGAGAGGAGTTACTTTGAATATAGAGCTTCTAACTACAGTTACTTCCCCCCTTTGAGAAACCTAAACCAGAAAAGCTAGGCTAGGGTGGGACAAGTTATGACCGTATTCTTTCTTCATTGAAATTTGATTGCAGACAAGGGGGAGGGCAGAAATAAAAACAGACGACTACATTCTTTGGTCTTTACAACGTTTTGGGTTGCGTCGTGGCTGTAAAACGCCCCCGACGGTTCAACCGTTTTGACCACTCGGTATTCAATCATGTGACTCAGATGGGGGAAACAGACTATTCAACTTGTTTACGTTGATTTCAATCTTCGTTAGGATTTGGGATTTCATACCATTTACTGCATCTGGTAAACGGGTCGGATCCTTTCACATTTCATGTTCATTTTAATAAGATATAATCATTTTCATATGATTTTCCATATCGGATCATTTTGTATTTCAATTTGGATTTCTATTTTTTGTTTTTTGGATAAATATAAATTCCGAGTGGGTTTTTGAATTCAAATTGATTTTGTCACGTATATTTTTTAATTTTTTTTTGGTTGATTTATGTTCAGTAAGAACTTATGGGTCGAATTGTGACCCACTTTGATATTTCCTTTCCTCTCTGTTTCTTTCTTCTTTACTTAATTTTTCAGATCATTCAAACCAATCCTCTCAAAGTGTCAGGTTCCCTTCTCTGCATCTCCTTGTTATTGGGTTTTGGATAATGTAGGAAAAGGAAATGCCAAATGTTTTAAGGTGTCAACTGCTGCAGTGCAGAGCTGAGGCACCAATATCTGAAATCATTTCATGGTTTAAGTTATTGAGTGATACCAATTTGTAATTTGATGAGTAAAGTGGGAATTAAGTATTAAGCTTAACGAACAGCGTTTTAATTTGCTGGAAAAAGGAAAGGACCCCACACGGGGCCGAGGGAGAAGGCAGGCAAACATCAGGCGCGCGTACATGACGTGGGAAGTAGTGCCTTCCGATTCAGCTAACATGCTCCAAACCCCATCGCATCTCCTCCATGTCTCCCACTAAAATTGCAAATTGCCCTTTAAACATTTTTAAATTAATAACAATAATTATAATAAACACTCACACAGTTAAACAAGTTGCACTAATGTATTTGCTAATCTCTGATCTCTAATTTAACAGACTTAAAATGTTTTCAACCCATTACAATCTTACCATTCTATCTTATTATGGTAAGTTTTCTCAATGCACTATTTAATAACACATATGTTACATTTTTAAGCGGACTACAATGAGTTATCCCATGCTCTTAAATTCTACAAACATTCTATGCATTGGAAGCAAGAAAGGGTTAATTTGGGAACTTCCTAAAACCAAAAGATTAAAATAAGTATAACCATGTCTTTGGGAATAAGATAATCCAACATTAATGTAATAACCCAAGTGATTCCAAAGTTAAAAAACATGGTTAATTTGGTCCTTCTGGAATCAAAATGTGCAAAAAGGATTAGGAAAAAGGGTATCTTGTTTCTTCCTTGTTCCCCCTCTCCAAAGTTAAATCAGTGTCCCTAATGACCCCACACCTCTTATCTCTATCCCCCTTTCTCAATTCCATTTTTTGGAATTTTGTTCTTGTCATCTGTGATCCCATACATTGGAGAGAGCTTCAAGTTAATGTGCCTTTAAGCCTAAGTTAAAGTGACCCCCAAAATCCTTTTGAAATATATATATTCATGATTTGATTCATTGTTTGGAGGATACTATGAGTCTTAGCATGAGATTATTAGATAGATCAAGCTTAGCCAACATGAATGATTTGCATATCTAAGCTAAATCACCATCATTACACTTTTTTTTTTGGTTAGTTGCACGGGTTAATGTAATAATTGGAATTAATTACAACCTTACATTGAACAAATTTAAAATAATGAAACAGGGAAAGTTTAAGCTAAAGAGGGATAGCTTAGGATGGAGGGTTAAAAGCAAGACGGGGAACCCTTGCATACTTACGAAAAACTTGTCATTCGAAAATACAAATGTTCGTCATCAACCAATAATATAGTTTTATAATTTCTATGGAGACCATATCCTTTCTTGGATAATACTACCCTTGGAGATATAAATAAGCTAATAATTTTTGTTTTTTTCTTATTGAATTGAGAGTGGGGTTTCAAGTTAATTTCTTCGTTTTATAGGTAAGATGTGCCCATAAAAAAACTGAATAATAAAATGTGGCTATGTTATTGCTTTATCCTTAAAGTAACAAAGTAGATATCCATATTGAATGTCCTAGAGGAAGTATGAAAGTTGTATTCAATTCAAAAGCTAATACATTAGATAAAAGGATTTAATATATACCCAACACACTTCTCATGCATAAATCCAGTAAACCTAAATGTAACAAAAAGAAATCATTATACTTTGAAGCTTGAAGTTAGACCCAATTTTATAAATTGAAATCGGAAATTTAATAATTAAGGAGCCTAAATCACTTGGTCAAAGAAACTCCAATACTATATTGCTAGTAACTATCCAACTTGATAATTAAAGTCATGAATGAACCAATAAGCCCCGGCCATTGTCTGTAGATTATAAATGCAGCCAAAAGCATAATCTTTATATATATGGGATACCTACAAAATCCAAAATATATGCATGCGTTCAAAAGATTTTGGGGACAAGAACATATATATTTCCAACAGCGAGTTGACTAA